CAACTCTTTGCGACCCCATGGCTTGCAGCATGCTAGGATTCCCTTTCCTTCACCATCTCCTGGACCTTGCTCAAATTCATGTACATTGAGTCAGTGATGCCATTCAACCATCTCATCCTCTGTTGCCCCCTTCTCCTGCCTTCAATCCTTCCCAGCATCAGGGTCTTTTCCAATGAGTCAGTTCTTTGCATCAGGTGGCCAAAGTACTGAAGCTTCAGCTTCAGCATCAGTCCTTCCAATGAACATTCAGTGTTGATTTCCTTTATGATGGACTGGTTTGATCTCCTTGCAATCCAAGGGACTCTCAAGAATCTTTTCCAACACCACAATTTGAAAGCATCAATTCTTCAATGCTTAGCCTTCTTTATGGTCCAACTTTCACATCTATACATGACTACTGGAAAGACCATAGCTTTGACTATGCAGACCTTTGTTGGTAAAGTGATGTCTCGCTTTTTAATATGCTGTCTAGGTTTGTCACAGCTTTTCTTCCAAGGAATAAGCATCTTTTTAACTTCATGTTTGCAGTCACTGCAGTGATTCTGGAGCCCGGGAAAACAAAATCTGTCACTGTTTCTACTTCTTCTCTCTATTTGCCATGAAGTGATGGGACCGGATGCCATGATCTTAGTTTTTTGAATGTTGAGTTTTAAGCCAGATTTTTCACTCTCTTCTTTCACCCTCATCAAGAGGATCTTTAGTTCCTCTTTTCTTTCTGTCATTAGAGTGGTATCACTGCCTATCTGAGGTTGTTGATATTTTTCCTGGCAGTCTTGATTCTGGCTTGTGATTCATTCAGCCTGGCATTACACATGATGTACTCTGCATATAAGTTAAATAAGCAGGGTGACAATATACAGCCTTGATGTACTCCTTTCCCAATTTTGAACCAATCCATTGTTCCATGTCTGGTTCTAACTGTTGCTTCTTGACCTGTATACAGATTCTCAGGAGGCAGGTAAGGTGGTCTGGTATTCTCATCTCTAAGAATTTGCCACAGTTTGTTGTGATCCACACAGTCAAAGGCTTTAGCATAGTCAATGATACAGAAGTAGATGTTTTCTGGAATTTCCTTGCTTTTTCTATTATCCAATGGATGTTAGCAATTTGATCTTTGGCTCCTCTGTGTTTTCTAAACCCAGCTTGTACCTCTGGAAGTTCTCAGTTCACATACTATTGAAGCCCAGCTTGAAGGATTTTGAGCATTACCTTGCTCGCATGAAATGAGCGCAAATATACAGTAGTTTGTACATTCTTTGGCATTGCCTTTGGGAGTGGAATGAAAACTGACCTTTTCCAGTGGAGAACTGCCAAAAGTAACTTCACATGTGAACCAAACACAAAAAAGTGGGGGGAACAATAGATCTAAAAGTATCTCACTCTCTACAATGTCAACGCTGGTTACAAAATTCTTCACACAGAATTCTTTCAATGTAAAATATGTTCTCAATGCTTGGAAACTGTGTGCCATTTCCAGTTATGTGAAAAGCACCTCTGATGTTTCTAGACCTGGACCAGTTCTCGGACTTAAGCCCACCGGCTGAGGGAGAGACCCCACCCATGAGGATGGACCTAGGATGCCAAGGGTGATGCACTCAAGATGCATGATGTAAGGCTAGGAGGGGACACTGATCATACGAGGCGGCTGGACACAGGACACAGGTGACACCAGACCCATCATGCCCACTGGAGTAAGGGTCTATGGGTCAGGTAATAACCTGGGCTCACGGGCACACGGGTCCTACCAGTGACCACTTCCGGGTTCCTGAAGTGTAACCAGAGAGCACAGGCTCAGTGCCTGGCCGAACCCTCCCGGGGTTCCCTGGAATGTGATTAGGGATGCATGTAAGAGAAAGGCAAGGTGAGTGTAAATCGAACACCATATCACATTCTGAGGAAAAGGCTGAGATTGGGCCATCTCAGAGGCTTGAAGGATGGGGGTGCTGGTCCTGACACACCCCTGCAGAAGCACTCGTCTCGCTCACATGCTGCATCAGCAAGTCAGCAGTAGGGACCCTCTCTGCTGTCTTCACAACGTTCAGTGGTCTGCACCCTGGACATTCCCGCACTGGCCACTCTGTGAGGACATCTGTGGCACCTGGTGAGCAAGACTTTCGGGTCCAGAGGTCTGGGCACCACGTCTTGCTCTCTGAGGTGAGGGTCCATGGAGAGAGAGGCACAGGACTGGGCAGTCTCCCTGGCCCTCTCGGGGTCCTGGTTACCCCTGACCCTTGTTGAGAGAGGGGTCTGGAGAAGCACAGGCCTGCTGTCTGGCCCTCAGGCTGCAGAGCCCTGGAGGAAGTTGGTGGTGGTCAACAACATGGAGACCGGCAGCCCAACGGGGCTGTCATAGCACAAACCCCAGAACCCTGTGACACAGAGCTGTGGGCCGTTCAACGAGATGTGGCCGGGGCACACGGTCACACTGCCCACCAGCAGCTGGGCACTCTCAGACCACCGAAGCATGAGGTCGAGTGGCCCTGTAGCCATGCAGACGAGGGTGGAGGTCCCAGGTCACCCACCTGTGGCTCCAAACTCTCCCTCAGCTGCACCCACAGCCTCATGGGGGTCCCCTAGGACCCACAGATAGAGCAGGTCTGCAGGCAGGCTAGTGTCATACGTTGGCACAACCCAAAAAGGGACTGATACTGCAGCCTGGTCCCATTCGGACAGCTCCAAGGCCCTGGAAGCCTGGAATGTCCACCTGTGGGAAGCTGGGAGGTGGCTAGGGCAAGGACACATACAAACCCACAGGCCCTGGTCAGCATGCAGGGGAGTTTGCTGGGAAGAGCAGACCTCTGAGACACTGAAGGTGGACCTGGGGGCACTAGGAGCAGCTTCTGGTAGGCAGTGCTGGCTGCTGGACCAGAGTAGAGGATATGGTTCCTTTCCAAAGGCTGGTCTAGTTACAACCACCCCTGACCTCCTGGTCACAGACAGACTCTGGGCCATGGGGGCCCAGCCCAAGGATTCCAGCAGCCCTGGTGAGTTGGCAATACCAGCCCCCAGCTCACGCAGTGGTTCCCTTGATGCTACCTTGGCCGAAGGGCCACTTGTCAATAAAGGAGCAGCTGGGCACTTTTGAGCCCTCAAGTCCAGCCTTTTGGAAATGTCCAGCCTGAGGAACAGTGGAGTAGACTCTCAAGACATAGCTGACATATCTTCTTACAGGCATGTTTCAAGGACTTGTTTATATTAACGATGTTTAAATGTAAGCAATATAAGTGCAATTACAATTTAGGGAATAAGAATCCTCAACATCAAACTTAAGATTGTGAATATCACCTATTCCATGAAAATACAACAGAAGCTCTCAGGAGGAGTGCACAGGTGTGTTCACAGGACAGCCAGGTCCTAGAGTCCCAGTCACGGGTGTGGGGCTGGGCTGTCAGAGACAGAGCATGAGGGGTACATTTCTTTGTTGTTGTTCAGGTACTCAGTCGTGTCTGACTCTTTGCGAACCCATGGACTGCAGCATGCCAGGCTTCCCTATCCTTCACCATCTCCTGGACCTTGCTCAAACTCATGTACATTGAGTTGGTGATAGCATCCAACCATCTTGTCCTCTGTTGTCCCCTTCTCTTCCTGCCTCAATCCTTCCCAGCATCAGGTTTTTTCCAATGAGTCACCTCTTTGCATCAGGTGGCCAAAGTATTGGAGTGTCAGCTTCAGCATCAGTCCTTCCAATGAACATTCAGAACTGATCTCCTTTAAGATTGACTGGTTTGATCTCCTTGCAGTCCAAGGGACTCTCAAGAGTCTTCTCCAACACCACAGTTCAAAAGCATCAATTCTTTGGTGCTCAGCCTTCTTTATGGCCCAACTCTCACATCTATATATGACTACTGGAAAAATCAAAGCTTTTACCATACAGATCTTTGTTTCTTAAAAGGAGAAAATCAGCAGATTAAATTCAGAGCTCCAAAATTAGGGGCTACTGGAAGAGAAAGAATTCATCTTGGATGAAAAATCATCCTTCAAACTCCTTGAGAAACTATCTGAAGGAAGTGTGTTTTTGAACCTTTTTCTTAGTATATGTTTCATGGGGTGCATGCTCTGAGCCCTGAACCCTATCCCAGGAACCAGCTCTCTCCTTCATGAAGGCCAAGTGGCAATAGTCAGACCTCAAATACAGCACCTGGAGCCCGTGAGAAATGCAAAGTCTCAGGACTCACAGACAACCAGGATCAGATCTCAGGGGCTTGTGCATTCATGACCTGCAGACACTTTGGTGTGCGGACACAGCAAAGGGACAAAAGTGAGCAAAACCCAGGGGCCGTTCCTCAGCAGGCACCATGCATCTTAAGACAGTTCTGGACCTTTCTCCTTCCCACTCTCAAGACCAGTGATTCAAAGATGTTTCTACTAAAACTTCAGCATAGATATCTGAGCAGTGAATCCTGTGGTCAAACACCAGGTCTGAGGATCAGCCGCCTGGGCCACCCTGGACCCTGAGCCTCAAGGGGGCGAGTGACTCATGGGCCTGAGATGTCCTTCCAAGTTTAAGTGGGTGGGATGTGCTCCCCTACATGGGGCTCCTGCGGGGGGATGTGAGCCTCCCTGCCTGGAGGACGGGTCCTGGGGAGCATCACTCATGGGAGCCAATGTGGAAGCCATTCTAAAGATGAGAGTGCAGTCTGAGGTTATGCAGATAATAAGATTTTTTAAAACTGATACACCCTACAGCTCCCAATCTATTTTCATGTCCAAGGTACACAGCTTCTAAAAATGCTGATAAAACTAAACCAAACCAAAAAATAAATTAAAAAATCCTTTGGACCCATTTGAAGGTAACAAGTGCTACTCAAAACAAGAAGCACATTTTTCTTGAAAGAAAAGCACCCATGAGTGTGGAGACACACTAGGCACACATCTTTCTCCAAGAGGGCAGTCTGACTGCAAACTGACTCTTTCAATCCTAAGGAAGAATCTTAATCTAAAAAACTATAATGGCATTTCTACCAAAAGTTGTAGAGACATGCATAAACATCCATACTTACACTTTTTGGGTGTCGCAAAGCGGCTTCGTGTTGCAGCCTCACTCTCTGAGGCATCATCACGTCGTCCTGCAGGGGAGAACACACTTGAAACTCCAGGAAGCACCTCTGACAAACAAGCAAGAAGACAGACAGCCTGACTGCAAAGCAGGCAGAAGACCAGAACAGGCAGCGCAGACGCTGCCCAGTGACCCATGACCCCATCAGTCATCTGGGAAACTCAACTGCCCAGGAGGCAGCGTAGCATGAGTGAGAAGTTGGACGATTCCAGTAAGAACCACACAGCTGGGAGGAACGAGGATCTGAGGAAGACAGTGGGGCATGTCCAGCAAGATGGAGACTCTGATTCCTGAGAGCCAGTAACTTTATTTACCCCATGGGCAGAAAAAGGCTTACACATAACGCACCAGAGAGATGTAGAGAAACGTTCACCACAGTGTTGTTCAAAATGGGGAACAGCTTGATGTTCACAGAAACCAGCCAAGGTAAGTAAATTGTGTGCCTTGCTATAGTCAAATACCATTGAGGTATGAGAGTGAACGACAGCTACACACACATAAGTGAATTTCACAGATATAATGCTGAGTGAAAGAGGCAAGACAACAGAATATATATAGTATTACTCCATTTATTTAAAATTCAAAGTCAAGCAAAATTAACCTGATTATTTAAGATACACACACATATAATATGAACTACCATAAAGAAAGCAAGAAAATTATAATCCCAAAGTCAGAATAGTGGTGACTTTGTAGGGAGGGGGTCAGGGTGTACCTCTTAAGTATTAGCAATGCAGTTACTTGCTGAGAGGTAAATACATGTGTATTGACTTCCTAATTAATCTTTAAAGTGTACATGTATGTTCTGTGTATTTTTCTATAGGTATGTTTCATCTCACAATTTTAAAACTGCTTTAAATTGATTAAAAAAAATTCAAATATGGTACCAATATGCCCAATAGAAGAGCTAAAAATATCATTGGGAAGATATTTATCTTTAAACTGAGCAATGAGATAAACTAAAAGACCTGTATTTGTATTTCCTCAACATGGCCTCATGAGCTAATGTGCTAATCGAATGAACTGCAGATGAAGTAAGCTGAGAGGAAGCTTGTGGCTAAAGTGAGGAGGAGGGGGAAGGAGGTGATGAAAGAGGAGGAGGGAGGGTAGGGGGAGGGGAGGAGGAGGGAGAGGCCAGGGAGAAGAAGGGGCTGGACAGGGCAGGGGCCCCTCCAGGCACAGCGGCGCCCTCAGCAGGCAGGAACAGAAACGCAGGGAGGAAGCTGTCAGAACAGGAATGGAGGAGTTGCCTATTCCAGGCCCAAATCCTTCCCTGGCTCCCATTAGGACCACACGTGCGGGCATGTGCGTGGTCAACCACAGCTGGGAACCTTAAAAAGGAAAACCACGGTGGCTTCCCTGGCTGCTCAGACAGTAAAAAGGAAAACAAGGAAAACTGAAGTGGTGGTAGGGTAGTGGGTGGGGGATGGGGGGTGGGGTGAGCAATGTGAGGAGAATAAAAAGAAGCTATGCTAGAGTTCAGCCTATTTCTCTCCCACAAAGGGTACAGAAAGGCGGCAGGGCAGAGACAAAAGAGGGAAATTTCCCTGAAACGGGAGGTCTATTGATCAAATTCCTGAAAAGTGACTTCGTGTCTGGAGGCCTCATGCCGAATCCTAGAAGTTCTGAGGGTTTCCTAAACCAGTCCCCACTCCTGGTTGCAAGTGGGAAGGTGCACAGGTCAGCACAGGACTAGGCAAGTGTTTCAAAGTGAAAGTGGGGAGGGTTGAGGAAGCCACAGTCAGGGTCAGGGTCAGGGCTGGCCTCTGCCCACAGCATGACCACCCCGGGACCCTGTGCAGTGGCAGCACCACACACGCAAGCCCCACTTCCTCCAACTCAGGTGAGAACCCCGGGAACACCACCACAAGCCTCTGGCCTCTAGTTCCCATACATACTCGATGACACCAAGATATCCACTGCAATGGGTATCGTGTGTGAACCAGCTCAGCTGTTGTATTTGGCTGGACCTCAAAAATATTTGCTGAGTAAATGAAGTGTCTGTTCAGGGCGGAATTGTATTTTCAATTCACCTCACCATTTATACAACACTCCTTTTTTTTTTTTTTGCTATTTATCACCATCTTCTACAGTTGGAGGCAGAGCAGCTAGTATTATCCCCATTTTGTAGCCAAGGAAACCAAGGTTTGGAATCTCTACAGAATCCATTCAAGATCTCATAGCAATTAGATGTCAGGATTAAAATTTGAACACAGGTCCAGTTTTATAGCTCAAAGATTTACACAAAAAGTCTTAGCTCTCAAGAACATTCTAATACAGTCTTCTATCACCTCTGCTGCTAGGTGTCTGAATAAAGTGAACATCTGCAAGTACAAGGGGAATACAGGAGACTTTTAACATACCCCTGACCCTAAGCTGAGAAGGTCAAGGAAGAACACAATGAGTAAACATTCAAGTCAAAAAGTGATAGCGTAACAGGGTAACAGACTGTCTCAGCTGCACAGTGACTGCAGATTATAGATAAGTTCCTTGCTCTCTCAAGACCATTTTGAAAGAGGAAAAACTTGCTGAAAGATGGGAGCATGAAAAGATCTTTATTATACATGAAAAGTGATGTGATATTTTAATAACAAGCCCAGATGTGTTTCTGCTGTGATCCCACTGCCTTTCATTGATGTCCATCCCAGGGAGGGGCCCGCTCTGGTCAAGGTCACTGTGCTCACAGCTGGTACCCAATACCAGGAGCTGGTTTTAATAAAAGTCAGCTGGTATCTGCAATGCAAACAGGAGGGGGCCTACAGGATGGATATAAAAGGTCATCAGCATGAACTACAAAAACCCAGAGTCTGCATGTCCTGATCCCAAGGTGTATCTGGAGACAGACTTTCCCTACCACAGGAGGGAGGGTTCAAAACCTCCATATTTATTTGCCGAAAGTGTGCAAGATTCCACAATGATAACCAGGTAAGAAATGTCCTTGGCAGCCAAGGGGAAAGAATTTTACACTTGATCTTAGCCAAAAGGCAGAGAAGCGATGGGGAAAGAATTTTAATGTATTATAAAAATAACACTAATTCAAGATGAAATACTGTTCCCTTTCTGACCATAAGAATGTTGGGTAGAGAAAAACTAATCTGGTCAAAGAATTTGAGTTAAAAGAAACCTGCATCTTTGAGTTCAGTAGCTTCTGAATAGAGGGTGGTGCTGAAGGAGTGAGGCTGTGGACCCCCAGGAATGACCAACTCCCAGGATGGGTGAGGGGCAGGAGGAACCACTTGTACATGAAGGAAATAACAGTCTACAGTCAAGAAGATATGTGAAGAGAGCAAGGTCAATGTGGTGGTTTCTGTTAAGTCTCTTTATGCGTGACTTATGGACAAGATTTGAAGACACAGGTAGAAATTCCCTGGTCACACCTCAACCTCAGGATGCACACTTCACGCAGCGGACCCTGAGGACAGGGGAGAGAACAGAAGAAACCCCACCTGCACGCTGAGAGCCCATTTCCAAAGCACAGTGTTAGGGACTCACATACGTGACCCACCTACATTTTCCCGAAGCCAGAGACACAGGGGAAGCGGGTCTGCTTGAAAGAAGCTGTTTTCTGTGATCTGCTACTTAGCCTGAGTAACTAAGTCATGGCAGGGCAGGACCCACACCCAGGTCAAAATGCCTCCACATCCACTTGCAGAAATGACAGGCTAATGGCACACAGAGTTACCAAAGATACTGAAAGAGTCTTAAACAGAGTTAACAAGGTAGTGGGGAACTAAGTCCAAATCTCTGAGACGCATCAGCTGAGAGAGGAAACAAGTCAATTCTACTCTCAAGTCCTCACTGATCTACAAGAAATAGCTAAACTCTGACCCATGGTTCTGGTAACCCTGCCAGGCTGCAGGGACTGGAGATCAGAGCCAAGGGTCTGCTCAAGACTGGGAGTGGGGGTGGGGCCTGCTATTCAACCCACAACAGTTCTGAGCTCAGGTCATGGCAGGTTACCTCCTCAAGAGGTGAATGAGATATGTAGCCTAACAGGGCCCAGAAGCCTCAAACAGGATAACAAGGGTCCCAGGATGGTGGTTCTCCCAGGCACCTAGAAGAAGAAGAGGAAAATCTCTGAGGCAAAGAACTTTCATCCATGGCCTCAAATTAACTCCACAGAGAAGTATTCAAATACAATGACCAATGCACAAAGACAAGGGGACCTGTAAGTAAAAACACACAAAAGAACAGATAATAAAAGACTTCCCAGGGCAACCATTAAGAAAATAATTTTAAAAGAGTTAAAAATCACTAATTTATTATAAATAGTACACTAGAAAATATCTATTTAATTTTTCTTAAAAGGGAAGCAGTAAATAGAAAACAGAGGAACAAAAATCATGAGTCAGAAAACAGAAAAGAAAATAAATAGCAAAATGGCAGACATAAATCCAATCATAAAAAACTTAAATATGTGAATAAATTCAAAACTCTAATCAAAGGTAAAAGTTGTCAAACTGCAATTAAAAAAAAACCCACAAAAACAAGTTCTACCTATAAGCTATTTACAACAGACAAAAATTCAGGTTCAGAGACACAAATACATTAAAGTAAATGAATGGAAATTAAAGTAAATTAAAGTAAAAGAATGTAAAAAGATACACCAAGCAAAGTATAACCGTAAGAGAGATGTAGTTTTACTAACATGAATCAAAACAGACTTTAAAACAAAGAACAGTAAAAGAAACTAAGAGAGACATTAAACACTGACAGAATGGTCAATCCATCAGAAAGATATAACAACTATAAATATGCATGTATCTAACAACAGTGGGACAAAAAGAAACAAGAATGAATGGTACTGAAGAGAAAAATAAACAATTCAACAATAAGAGTTGGAGACTTCAATAACCCACCATCAAGAATGGACAGAATAGACTCAAATGAGTTCCACCAAATGTAAAATAGACGGCCAATGGGAATTTTCTGTATGTCTCAGGAAACTCAAACAGGGGCTCTGTATCAACCTAGAGGAGTGGGATGGGGAGGGAGATGGGAGGGAGGTTC